GCCAACTTGTGAAAAGTCATAGGCTTCCATTCCAACATAATGAAAAGCGGACATCTCATATTTTGGATCTTATCCATTGTGATTTATGGTGTCCCTCCGCCGTTTCCTCCAATATGGGTTACAAATATTATGTCATTTTTATTGATGATCATTCACGATTCACATGGTTTTATCCTTTAAAATTAAAATCAGACTTTTATCTCATTTTTCTTCACTTTCAGAAATTTGTGGAAAATCAATTCTCTATTAAAATCAAAGCATTTCAAAGTGATGGCGGCATTGAATTTACAAATCATCTTTTTGGGGATCACCTCATAAACTGTGGCATCCGTCATCAAATGTCTTGCCCTTATACACCGGCCTAAAATGGTCGTGTCAAGAGCAAACATCGTCATATAACGGAAACTGGTTTAGCGATGATCTTTCACTCATATGTCCCTCTTAAATTTTGGGTTGACACATTTAGCACGGCCACTTTCCTCATCAATCGACTGCCAACGCCTACTTTTGCTGGCCTATCTCCTTTTGAGTTGATGGTAAGCCTCCTGTTTATTCTACATTTAATCCTTTTAGCTGTCTTGTATTTCCATACTTGAGCGATTATGCATCTCACAAGTTAGCTCCACGTAGCCGTCCTTGTATTTTTCTTGGCTATAGTACGTCCCATAATGGTTATCATTGTCTTGATCGTTCCACTAATCGCGTTTTTATCTCCAGGTATGCCATTTTTGATGAACTCAAATATCCTTTTTAGGGAACTCCTTGTCCTAGATCCATGTCTATCTCTCCCATTAGTACGTTTCTTGAGCCTGTTATTATCCCAGAGGCCACACCACCGACTTAACTCAATCCCATACCAACTCCTTGTGATTCTTGTTTAACTTATGCTTCTACTAGTCTTGTGCCATTGTCCATTTTATAGGCTGCAAATGATGAACCCATTGTGCACACAGTATCAAGTCCTCTTCATGGCTCCGCCAGTCCCACACCCATCATTGAAGTATCCTCGAGCTATCCTTCTCTAATTGGCACCCATCCGATGCAAACTTGTGCTAAATCCGACATTTTCAAGCATGTGCATCGCTCTCATGTGTGCATAGTTCCTAACTCTGGTCTACTTGAATCTCTTCTTACCTTGCGTAAGCCAAAGGGCTTCAAGTCCGCTGCCAAACATTCTGGATGGATTCCAGCCATAGATGCTGAAATTCGGGCTCTTCATGAATATCATACATGGGACTTGGGTACCTAAACCGCCCAACATTAATGTTGTGGGCTCTAAATGGGTTTTTCGCATCAAATATCTATCTGATGGCACTGTGGACCATCTTAAGGCTCGGCTGGTTGCTAAGGGCTACACACAACAACCGGGTCTTGACTTCACTAATACTTTTAGTCCTGTTGTCAAAGCTTCTACTATCCGAGTTGTTTTATCTTTGGCCATCTCTCATAATTGTCCTCTCCGCCAAGTTGACGTTAAAAATGCGTTTCTAAATGGGTTCTTGATGGAAGAAGTTTATATAGATCAACCGCCTGGTTATGTTGATTCTAAATATCCCACACATGTATGTCGACTTCGACGGGCTATCTATGGTCTCAAACAAGCTCCACGAGCTTGGTTTCATCACTTCAGCTCCTTTCTCTTGGCTATTGGTTTCGTTTGCAGTCAAGCTGACTCATCTCTATTTGTTCTCTCCAAAGGTGCTGACTTAATTTATTTATTACTCTATGTTGATGACATTGTAGTAACTGGCAGCAACTCAGCACTCCTTGATGGTTTTATTAGCAAGCTGACTTGCGAATTTTCCACCAAGGACCTTAGATCTCTGAATTATTTTTTAGGCTTGGAAGCCCATCGTTCGTCCACTGGTCTTTTTCTTAGCCAAACCAAGTATGCTCATGACATCTTAGAGCGTGCCCGATTAGTTGACTCCAAACCGGTATGTACTCCCATGGTGGTTGCTCAACATCTTTCCGCAGCAGGTCCCACTTTTGATGATCCACAACTCTATCGATCACTTGTGGGAGCTCTCCAATATCTCACAATCACTCGCTTAGTATTACTCACGCCGTAAGTGCCATCAGTCAATTCATGCATACACCTTCTATCTCTCATTTTTTGGCAGTCAAGCAGATACTACGTTATATCTTCTTCTAGAGAACTCCTTGCTTATTCAGATACCGATTGGGCTGGTTGCCCTGATACGCGTCGCTCAATTTTTGGTTATGCCATATATTTTGGTGGCACTCTGGTGTCCTAGAGCTCCAAGAAGCAGCCGACAATTTCTCGCTCCAGCTGTAAGTCTGAATATAGGGCATTAGCACTCACAGCCTCTGAGGTTAAATGGCTATGACACCTTCTTCGTGATCTTCATGTGTCTACTTTGTCTCATCGGGTCATACTCTGTGATAATCAAAGTTCGATTTTTCTCGCTGTTAATCCTGTCTCTCATAAACGCACCAAGCACATTAATTTGGATTATCATTTTGTGCGGGAATTGGTGACCTCTAGGGAACTCAAGATAAGATATGTCCCCACTCACTTACAACTTGCGGACATTTTCACCAAAAGTCTCGGCCGACCTGCCTTCATCTTCCTACGTTCCAAGCTTCGCGTTCATGCTTCTGATACGCTAGGCTTGCGGGGGGTATTACAGTTATGGAAGGATCCACAAGATCCTTCCCTCAATCTCATGATTCTAGACAATCCCTTCACTATAGAAAATAGTTCAAAATTTTATATGTTACCTTGTATGTAAATATTCTTGCCATATTCTTTGATGTAAAAATCCTATATATAATGAAATACACACCACCAGCAATTAACGGTGGTTTATCAAATCCTCTCATTGCTCATTAAGTATTTTTTTTATTCTTTATCCCTCAGTATATAAGAAATTTAAATCGTTGTTTAGAGAAAGGGGTGATGAGCTCAGACACTCAAGTTCATATAGGGTTGAAGGAATATTGGGCTCAATTGATCGGTCGGCCCTGTTTAGAGTTTTTGGAGATTTTGGTTAGAGATTTAGCTATGTTTTCGGGTTCTCTGTCTTTATTTAAAAAAATCTTTTTAAAATCGGCTAGAGACTATCATTGATGGATTTATTTATTTTTATTTTTTATTTGCAAGTGGTGAGGATGTGAAAGTTATTTGTAGTGGAAGAATTTGAGTGCCTTCTTCCTTCAAGCTTCTTGGTTTCAACGGGGATTGATGCTGGTTCAAGCCTTGGATTGGGCTTGGATGGTGGCATATTTGAGTTGTGAATTATTTTCCGGTGACAATATTGATCCTTATCATACTTTTTCTTTCTTTTTAATCTTTTAAAAGATGTTGGTTATATTGTCACCACAATTTTTATTATTGTACCACATTTAAATTTCACTTAAGATCCCAAATTTTACTCGCAATTATGTTCGTAACTTTTCCGTTGGATCTTATTTTAAACTTTTCATTAATAAGGCCATACCCTTGACGATGATTCATATTATTTTGTTTACTTGCTTTGGAATGGGAGAAAAATATTTATTGAACTTTTCCTTCTTTTCTTTTTTTTTAACTGATGGGCAATTAATTAATTTTACTCCCTCTCAATTGACTTTATGGAAGGAAACCGTTATCGAGACAAAATGTGTTAATCAATGGAATGTTGAAAGAATAGAACTATTTGTATATAATCTTCCTTACCGAAAATGTTATACCCTCTCACATTGCGAGGGGCCCGCATGAATAAAAAACTCCCAAAAACGTGATCTTCACACCCTATTGTGAGTGTAGGTAAAAGATTAGATAAAAAAAATTATGTACATGTAGCATTGCCCATGTTGAAAATAAGCATACGACGATAAAATTCTGAAAACATAAGTGCTAAAATTCGCAATGATTAAAGATCTTAAGTGTTATTAAATATGGCGGCACTAAATAAAAAAGAAGTGCAAATATAATTACCCTTGAAAAATACATTATCTTTATTGAAAAGCAATATTTTACCATTTACCCCATTCATAATATTTTATTGTAAATACTTCCTTTTTGAAAACTAATATTTTAATGTGAAAGCAATATGCCAGACGAGTTACACATTGCTACACAACGTTACTTTTTATTAAAAATCTATGTCTTATAGGAGTAATATGTCGTGTAATAACGCTCATGGGGGAACATATTGTGGGATAGTTTACTTTTTATTTACTTTTGGGATAGTTTCTATTTTTCTTTCTCCTATAGAAGATCTTCCTAAGGAAATCGCCTTGGAGCAACTTCCTTTAAAAATGCTTTATGAGTAGACAAAGCACTCTAAAAGAGATCCAAAGCGGCAAGAAACAGCTTCTTTAGCCTCAAAAGCCACTTTTGACTTTCCAAAACTAAGATGAAAAATTGTAACGTGTCAACGTTTGATGGTCGGGATCCGTTGGCATACTCTTGTAAGCTGATTAATATTTACTTGCATGTATACATACATACATACATACATAACAAATTTGTGTGAGCACAAAATAATTTCAAACATCTCTCTAGGTAGTCTATTTTTTGTCATTTATCTATGAGAAATGCTTATATAGGCTGTAAAAGAGCTAATAAGATTACACAAGAAGATATTACACTAGCAACAACGGCCTAGATCCAATGCTGAGGTTTAAGTTTTGGGCATAGCTACGCCCCCGTTTGGCCTCCGTTAAAATTTTAATACATTTTTCTCTCTACTTTTCAATCACACATTTTTCAATAAAATAACATTATACGTAAATTGAAAACTTTTCATTCTTTTTCAACCTCCCATTCTCCAAAAAACCACTATTCCAAAAATTAAAATCTCACAATGGGGGCCAAACGGGGTAGTAGTTGTCAACAAAATCTGATACAAAAACTTGTTATAAACCAAGCAGTAGCTTTGTGGAAAATTCAGTTATCTACTTTCTACAGGCTCAGGACATCTTGGACGTGCCAAAAGATTAAAATTCATGGCACCTATAGCTTACCTTCATTGCTACATCCGGCTGACATTCTAAGTAGTCTCTTCATTATCCCAATAATTTCTAAGCTGTGACATGTGCAAAAGAAGTTCATCTCTGCCCAACCCTGTAATGCTGCTAGTCATGATCCATGGAGGATGGTGCCGATAGCTCTCTTTCATCAACTCTAGAAAATTTCTGATGTTCTCATCAGGCCGCCTTCCTTTGCCTACTTTCATTTTGTCACACTTTGTAAAAACAAAAGTCATGGATATCTGAAAAGTCGGGGTGAAGAAGCAGGCAAATCATAAGACATGACAGCAATTTGATTTGTAACAATGCTCAAAATACAGGTAAGTTATTTGAGAATAGAAAGCTGCATACATTGTTCCGACCAAGCCAATTAGCACAATCAAGGTCAATCTTCTGAGGTGGAACACTTGCATCTATTAAAAGCAGGACGGAGACAAGAGTTTCTCGATTCAAGAAGTAGCCTTTTGTGAATGAGGACCAATCCATTCTAGCAGATTCTGGGGCATTAGCAAAACTGTACAAAAGTAAGCCTTATCAGAGAGACCGCTTTTTTGTACCAAGACCAATATTCATTAATGATAAATTACTCAAATGCACTTTAACGTTTGCTATCAGCCTATCACAAAGGTACAAATGTAAAATAACAGTCAAATTACAAAAAAAGATCCCAAGAACAAAAAAGAACAGGGTAAGAGTACAAACTAAATCTCTTAATTTGTGTCAACAGTCAACACTTAGAAAAAGAAAGTATAGATAAGAACAGCTAAACTTAGAATCTCTCTCTAAAACTAGTGTGTGGCTTTTGGGGATGTAACCTGCAAAATAAAGGGAATGGATTATTATACTCAAAAAATCACAACTCGAAGTAACCAGTATGGGTTTGATTGGTTTATCTCTGTATTTCATAATTACACCATTACATATGAAGAAAGAAACTTAACATCTTAAGAGTCAACTACTTAACCTTTACCATCTTCATCCAACCTGAACTTAACCAGATTATTTTCTTCAGATTTTTATATTCTTCACTTCTGTTCTCAACTCTATATTCTTTGATTAAGAGGGCGCAAGAACGAGCTTAACATAACTCAGAAACTATACCATGATAAGTGTTAGATGTTTGCCAAACCAAATTATTGTTTCCTATTAATTCTCCCTTTTTTTAAAGGGAACTTTAATGTTGGCAACAATTATGCTACGTAAATATCATGGTTGACAACAAGTTTGACACTCTTCCACGTGGTAGCAATCTACATCATTGATTTTGAATACTTCCATCCATCCCATCGTTGCACATATTCCTTCCACCTAGAGTGATGTCAACCAAGGATGTACATCTAGCTTACTTGTGTTGACAAAAGAGTTTCACACAATGTCCTATTGTCAAGCTACGCATATTAGATAGAGCTGTATGTTTTTTCCACACTACCTCCCTCTTCATAGTATTAATATTGTTTTTTCCACACTACCTCCCTCTTCATAGTATTAATATACTATTTTACTTCTGGTATGAATTAGATGAAGCTAGATGTACATCCTTGGTTGACATCACTCTAGGTGGAAGGAATATGTGCAATGATGGGATGGATGGAAGTATTCAAAATCAATGATGTAGATTGCTACCACGTGGAAGAGTGTCAAACTTGTTGTCAACCATGATATTTACGTAGCATAATTGTTGCCAACATTAAAGTTCCCTTTAAAAAAAGGGAGAATTAATAGGAAACAATAATTTGGTTTGGCAAACATCTAACACTTATCATGGTATAGTTTCTGAGTTATGTTAAGCTCGTTCTTGCGCCCTCTTAATCAAAGAATATAGAGTTGAGAACAGAAGTGAAGAATATAAAAATCTGAAGAAAANTTTTTTTTTTTTTTTTTAAAAAATCGTATTTGGTATCGATTGAAATCTAAATTTTAATCTAAATCAAAGTTAACAATTAATTTTAATAACATATTTCATGGAATCCATAACTGTACTTCTATCAAAATTCACTAAAAATTTGATTTAAATCTCCACCAAACAAGGGCAAAGTCACAATAAATTTGAATTTTGATAGCATGATAATTTTAAAAATTCTCCTACGACCGTACGCTAATCGAATCTACAAATTGCTTATGTCATCTAAAAATTTATTTCGAGAACTACATTATGCGCATATCGAATAGTCCAAACATATATCGAAAATAGTTAAAAATACGTTAAACGTGAGTCTTTAAAAAAGGCGTCTAACTCGCATTTAAAAAAGAAGTCTAACTCGCATTTTTTAAAATTTCAATTATTTAATTAACATTTATTATTTTTGCGATACAAATTTCTCAATATAATTTTCATCATTTTATTAGGAAATTTTATATGAAATATGACATCAAAAATTTTCGAAATTTTACATCCGAAAAAGTCATATCCCATAAAATCACATGGGGTATGATTTTTTTGGACGTAAATTTTCAATTGTAAAATTTTTCCCAACTTCTTTACAAATTCGATTGTGCCCCCTAACTTTTAAGGTCTGCGTCCACCCCTGATTGCAAGACACATTACATTGTGTGTTTTCCAACAGTATCATAAACCTATAAAATGAATACATCAAACTTCTGCGTTTTGACAAGTAAAATCTCATGGATAGCAAAAAACTGAATTACTACACAGCTAAGCTATTTAAGTCGAAGGAAATCATAAAGCACAAAAAAGTACAAAAAGGAGGGGGGAACTCAATGCTTACCCATAACCAGGCAAATCCACAATGTACCAACTTTTGTTCACCAAGAAATGATTGATCAACTGAGTCTTCCCTACATAATTCAATCAAACATATTAAAAATTTAAACTGCAACACAACAAATTCCGACCAGAACAGTTAGATTGAACTGATACCTGGTTTTTTAGAAGTGAGAGCAACCTCCTTTTTACGGACCAAAAAGTTAATAAGCGAAGACTTGCCAACATTGGACCGACCCAACATGGCAAACTCGGGTCGGTCATCTTTGGGACAATCCTTTGGCCGGTTACTACTCTTCACAAAGTCAACATCTTTAATTTTAGCGTCGCCAGCATAGGGTCCGAGAACAATATTCGAACCAGGTAGGACCATATCATCAGTAACGTCATCTGGGTTGACTCCTGGAGGCACAAAAAGGACAGTCCGCACAAACTTGGCCGCCTCGGATATCCCCGCCGGTCTTTGGCCTTTCGCAGCTGATGCATAGGGGCAATTCGGTTGTTGAAAAATGGAGGGCCCAAATGCGAGCGAAGATGGATGGGATTTGTGAGAATGAGGAAGGGACCGGAACAGTGACGAGAGTTGGGGATTGAGTAGGCGACACCTCAAAGTCAATAGCATCGTTTATCTATTGAGCCAGAGATTATGTCCGGCTAAGCCTTTTTTTTTAAAAAAAAAGGTTATCCTATAAAACAGGAAAATGCTAATTAGTCCTCATTATTTAGAAAAAAATAATAAAAAAACTAAGGATAGAACCTTCAAACTGTAAATGAACTCGAGCAGATAAAGAAAAGCACTAAGCTAGCGTCTCCTGTCATATCAGTGATGCATAAGAATTCCAGCATTCTCACATATAATGTTAAAACGAAATAAACCCCATATAAAAATCCAAAATTCTTAGACAAAGGACCCAATTTCCATTCAATTCACTGTTTAAACTTGCATCATAAAAATGTCAGAGAAGATGGAAGTATTACCTGTTTTGAGTCAAATCAAAACACTCTCTATTTGCCCTAATCCACCGAAAACTACCACAAATAATTCGTCCGAGAAAATACAAAGAAAGCAAGAAATTGAGACGGAAGAGCAGACGGCGGCCCTGCGAGACGAAACGAGTGGGCAGCTGTGGACAGGCAGAGCTGCTTTGGGACAAGTTGAGGATTGAGGAAATTTGAGCAACTGAGCTCCTTGCGGGAGCAGAGTCGGGGAAGAAATGAATTTGGGCCCAAGCTTACCACTTATGGCCCAAAGGCTGCCCTGCCTCTAGCCCATTAAAGGATCGCCTCTGCTAGAGGGGTCCGTTTAATTTGGTCCTATATCTAGCCTCCTTTCAACAATTATTAAGAGTTTGTTTGGGAGGAATTAAAATTGAAAAATTAACCATTATTGTTGATTTTTATTAGACGAGTGTGACCCAATAACGATTATATTTTCAATTTTAATTGGATTAAAATCCCTCCCAAACAAACTCCAAAAAGAATATTTTTGGAAAATATTTGCTTAAAAAGTTAAAAAAAAATTAGAATTACGTGTAAAAGACTTGTTTTAATAATTGTTGAGTGGGACAAATTTATTCATATATTTAAGTAGATACTATTATTTTAGGTGTTTGGTAGTAGGGTGTTTAGTGATGCTACCAAAATTCGTACCTGAATTTGACCCGAAAGTGTCAGTTGAAACTCCGACCACGAAGATCTTCAAACACCTAAAACAAAGGCGGTGAATTGTGTCCTTGTTGCCCCTCCAATACTTAAGTCAGAAAGCGGAATGATAGAATATTACTTGATTGAGTATTTCTTATGAAAACGCATGCGTGGAGAATGGGGAAGGGACACCTATTTAAAGAGACTGGTGGCTGAGTCCTAAACAGACTAGTATTCCCTTACGGAAGGTGTTGGTGCTGTGCTGGGATTGTATTGCTTTGAGATAAGGTGAGTTTTTTGATAAGTTTGGGGGTTTAATGGTTACATTTAACTAATATTCTTTGGTCATGTGCTGTTGGAGGAAGGCACGTGAGGGATGAACTTGACTGGGACACACTCGAGCTCGACCTCATGCATTCTGCCGTGGAGCATAAATGAAAACGGCATGGTCGAGATCGGGTTGTTATCATGGAGGTAACATATGACCTCGACCTCGAACCCAGGGGTAAAAGGTGTGTTTCGGGCGAATCCTGTTGTGGCCTGGGACTTCTGGAGCATTCCGACCGTGATTCCATGTTGGATGATCCTACAAGATCAGCCTAGTCTATAGTAACCGGTCTTAAACCAGCGGGGATATGTTGCGATGAGGGGTATTGGGGGTGTGTTTCTCTGATGTAGCGGCTGAGTAAGCGCGACTATCTGCTGGCGGAATACCTCCAATGCACTGGGAGCCACTGTTGCCGATGGGTGAGGTTGTTCTCTCGATGATATCTCCTGAGGACCAGGGCGGTCTCCTACGGGGGGTTAGTTCGAAGCGGATGAGCTTGTTGGAAGTTGTCCTGAAAGTGTGTTAACCATCGCTTCTGGTAGCGTTTTCCACATACGGCGCCAATGATGCTACCAAAATTCGTACCTGAATTTGACCCGAAGGTGTTGGTTGAAACTCTGCTCACGACAATCTTTAAATACCTGAACTGGTGTGTCCTCGTTACCCATCCGATGCTTAAGTCAGAATGAGGAATGACAGAATATTACTTGATTGAGTATTTCTTATTAAAACGTATACCTAGAGAATGAGGAAGGGACACCTTTTTAAAAAGGCTGGTGGCTGAGTCCTAAACGGACTAGTATTCCCTTACAGAAGGTGTTGATGCTGTGTTGGGATTGTATTGCTTTGAGATAAGATGAGTTCTTTGGTAAGTTTGGGGGTTCAATTGTTAAGTTGAACTAATATTCTTTGGTCACGTGCTATTGGAGGGAGGCACGTGAGGGATGAACTTGACTGGGACACACTCGAGCTCGACCTCATACATTCTGCCGTGGAGCATAAATGAAAAAGGCGTGGTCGAGGTCGGGTTGTTATCATGGAGGTAACATATGACCTCGACCTCGACCCCACTGCATAGAATATAGGAGAATAATGTAATTACCCGACCTCGAGATCGGGTATGAAATCATCATTTTGTAATCATGTTTGGTGTAAACCAAGCTTTATACTATCCGACGTAGCAATTCATCATTGGACGATTTCTTTTTAAAAAAAAAACTTTTTCAACTAATCATTGCTTGAAAACAATGATAATGTCAAACATGACGTAAACAAAAAGGGTAATTAGCACATAACGTCCTCACCTTTCATTGTTACTGTGGAAAACGTCCAAACCTTTTCATTTTTAGCATTTTCGCCCTTATTTTCACCTTTCATCGGATAAAAGGTCATTTTCATCAATTTTCTCAATTAAAAATTGTGAAATGATGAAAATACCATTTTTTAAAATAAAATAAAAGGAAAAAGAAAAAATTAATTGTAATCATAGTCCTAATATTTTTGAAAAGCGCAAATGAGCCACAAATAAATTATTAAAACGGTAATTAGTACATAATATCCTTATCTTTCAACTTTATTGCGAAAAATGTCCATATCTTTCAATTTTTTGGCATTTTCACCGTTAATTACATAATTGATTGTGCAAACCATCATTTTCACATATTTTCATCCAATTTCTCAATAAAAAATTGTGAAATAATGAATATACATTCATATTTAAATAAAAATATATATTTTTTAATTTCTAATTCTTTAATAATTTTTTGGAACTCGTTTGTACTTTTTATAAGAAAAATAATTTCTTTAAAAAATTTATTGGGGACTCGTTTGCACTTTAAAAAAATTGGGACTATGATTGCAATTAAATTTTTTAACTTTTTTATTTAAATAAGAGGGTATATTCTTCATTTCACTATTTTTATTGAGAAATTGGATGAAAATGGATAAAAATGATAGTTTGCGCTATGAAATGTATAATTAAGGGAGAAAATACAAAAAGAAAAAGGTAAGGACGTTTTTTGAAATAATAGTAAAATGTGAGGACATTATGTGATAATTACCCTTTAAATAATTTATTTGAGACTCATTTGCGCATTTCAATAAAGTTGGGACTATGTTTGCAATTAGTTTTTTTCTTTTTCCTTTTATTTTATTTAAAGGGAAGGGTATTGTCTTTTTGCAATTTTTAATTGAAAAAATTTGCTTAATGAAAGATGAAAATAAGGATGAAAATGTTAAAAATGAAAAGTAACGACGTTTTTCATAATAACAATGAAAGGTGAAGATGTTATGTGCTAATTATCGTAAACAAAAGGGTGTGCAAGTGGTCATTGTCAAAAGTACAACGTCTTGAATTTCAAGATGACATAAATTTTTGAACCATGCTAGTTGTATAACCGAGATTAACAATCACTCACATGGGGGGTCTGTTTTTTTTTTAAAAAAAAAATTTAAACTTGCGGACCCTCACACATATGAGAGTTGTCAATCTCGTTTGTGAGAATAGAATTTTCCTAAATTTCTTCCCATCACACCATGGGCGTTTTCGGTAGAGATTAAAATCGGATTAAAATTGAAAAATTAGCCGTTATTGTTGACTTTTATTAAACGAGTGGACCCAATAATGACTTTATTTTCAATTTTAATTGGATTTTAAATTCTACCAAACAAGCTCCATATCTAACGGAATTTGGCAACTCTGAACTATCTAATTAATCGTCAAACATTGTCTTAAACGAAAATGAAAAGTTTCAACCTCAAAAGAGAGCGAATATTTTGGATCATAAAAAATAATAATAATAATTAAAAAAAAGAGAGAGACAATTTTTTTTTTCATGCGCTACTTGTTTTTTTTTTTTTTTTTTTTTTTTGAATGTAAAATGTCAATTCATTAAAAACGCACAAAGCGGATACAAGGAGAAGAACCTCCAACACGACGCCCTCCTAAGAGAGATAAAGTGCTATCCAAGCGTAGTAAAACCACAAACTATACAGGACGCAACAACATACAAACTAGACCACGCAAACAAGACTCGACCCAACAACAGACACAGCTAATACAAGTCATAAAACATCTGTGACTTTACAGTGCAAGAAAAACCCGACTGATAGTCAACTACGCAATCAGCACTTACGCCCCCCCGTACACGAAGTAACGGGCTTTGTCTAGACTTCACATCAACCAAACAAACACACAAACAAAACAACAAAAAGGGACCACACAACCAAACAACACAACCACACACCACCAACAAAGACAACCCACACAGATCAACATCCACAACACCACCAACCAAACCACAACACCGCCAAGCAACCACCCGGAGGCACGACGGCGCCTCCTCCCTCTGCTCATACCGGCAACAAGGCAGCACGAAAAACCACACCCAGACCGAGTCCCAGCTATACTCGCGGAAAACTCAACCCCCACAAGTGGAGGTAGGCCGAACGGAGCCAGCCCATACCTTGATCAGGCCGGTCGAACTACACCGCCACTGAGGAGAAAGAAGGCAGAGACGCCCCACCAGCCCCGGACAGATCCAAGACCAACACCACTACCCAACATTCCATCAACATGCCTGCAGAAGACGCAAGAGAACATACAAAAGAAAAAAAGAAAGAAAAAAAAGGAACAGAAGGGGGGAGGAGGAAGCCGAAGCTCCCTCCCCCAAACGAGCACGCACAGGAGGTTTAAGAGAGAAGGGGGAGAAAATTAGGTTTTAGGAGAGAGAGAAGAAAAGAACCCAAAGTATTTTGCATCATGCGCTACTTGTTTTGTAGCTTAACATGGGCTTGTAAAGGTTTGACTTTTGTTATGTCACATCGAAACCACAAAAGAAAACTACAAATTTTTTCAGCAATTCATACATTGAACTTATAATTAATAATATTGAAATGCATAAATGAAGATGAATTGATGTGAATATTAATTAATTGTGAATTAATAATAGTGAATTCATACATTAATGAAAGTATACGTGTGAAATTTTTCTGTCAAATGTACATGTATATTGATGATAACTAAATAGCTAAATAAATTAAGTACATATTGAAAAAAAGAAAAGTAAGACATTATTAAAATAATTGAATTACAGTAAGTATAGAATCGTTCAAAATGATATTTAATATATTATAAATGCATAATTAAAACATATTAAAGATGCATTTGACAAAAAAAAATGAATTTTTAGGGAATGAAACTAATCCTCCATCGTTTGAAATTTTAATGATTGAAATAATGCCCTTTTTTTTTTTTAAACGAGAGCAAACATGGGCAAGTGCCCCTTGAGGCTTAAGCTTAGAGTGGCCTTTCAATAAATAAGCCCTCAATTACTTGTTGCACTCCACTTGTTAACAGGCAAGTGCCCCTTGAGAATTTTTTTTTTTTTTTTATAATATATAAAATCGTGTTTGGTATCGATTGAAATTTAAATTTTAATATATATCAAAGTTAACAATTAATTTTAATAACATATTTCATGGAATCGATAAATGTTTAACTTTTAGGAAAATTTACTAAAAATCTGATTTTAATATCCACCATATAGGAAAAAAATCACAATAAATTTGAATTTCGATAACATGTTCATTTTAAAAATTCTTCGACAATCGTACGTTAATCGAATCTACAAATTGCTTACGTTATTTCAAAACTTATTTCGAGAATTATATTATGAACATATCGAATAGTCCAAACAAATATCGAAAATAGTAAAAAATTCGTTAAACGTGAGTCTTAAAAAAAGACGTTTAAATCGTATTTTTTTTTTAATTCAATTATTTCATTAACATTTATTATTTTTGTGATACAAATTTCTCAATATAATTTTTATCATTTTATTAGGAAATTTTATATGAAATATGGCATAAAATTTTTTCGAAATTTTACATTCGAAAAAATCATATCCCATGTAAATTTTCGAATGTAAAATTACATGAAAAATGATTTTTTTGGACGTAAATTTTCGATTGAAAAATTTCTTTCAACTTCTTTGCAAGTTCAATTATACCTCCCTAACTTCTAATTTCTGCATCCGTCCCTGCTTCCACACACCTTTCATTCCCATTCAAACTCTGATTATTCTCCTCACAATATCATTAACCCTAAACTGCGAAGGATGAAAATTTTTTTTTTTATCCCAAGAAGGTGTTACTGTAAATTATAATGAGGTAATAATTTTTTTTACAAGACACAAATTAATATTAGTCATTAACTGTACATTCATGCAGGCCTACAGAACTGTCTAGCACCCATAGTCTTGGAGATAAAATAAAATAAACTATACAGATAGTAAGTGCACGGAATATTTCCATAATTGGCCCTGGGAATAAACATTAGCGTGCGCTGAAATCACTCCTTTAGGGCCCCGGAGTAGTTATACATGTGTAAAGACCAAAACCCTCGAGACCAAAAAGATATTAAAAAAAAAAAAAAAAATCCATTTACAGATTCAAGATCTCCAGCGCACATTAGATTTGGTTAGTCAAACTCTTGCAAACAGAATCCACCATCTCATCCTTGAGATGCCCACTTATTTTCAGGCCTCCTCTACATCGGTTACAAAAGAACTTGGTTGGAACAGCTTCAGAGTCCGGAATGCCACAACATCTAGTGTGCTGCCACACACCACATACATCACAGGCCAGCATTCTCTCCCCATCATCATCCTTAGCTCCACAACAGCAATCCACAGTCCATCTCTCCAACCCCCTCTCCGTTTTAAACCTACACAGACTGTTTTTCCCCAGAAACCTTCCTCGAATTCGGACAAATTCAGTTGAACCTAATAAGAGCTTGACTTGGGTGGATTCATCAACACCTCCATAGCCAATCAACTCTTCAGCCTGAAATCTCCTGAACATAACGTATACCTCCTGAAAAGCTTTCATTGCTTCCATCTTCAGATCAGCAATGGTGGCATCAAGAGGCAGTGTGAGTATCTCCGGAGGTGGATTTGGGCTGTGCTCTTCAAATTGTTCTGTGAGATCCACCTCACACAGTAGCTGTATCACATTCGGTCTAGAGCATAATAACAATTTCTCTGGGTTATAATCTTTCACAAACTGTTTGCAATCCAGAATAGCTGTAGCAGAGTTGACTGCGAGATCTCTTTTTGGCGGAGGAAAGTGGCTTTTCATTGACTCGGGGTGAAGCATGCCTGCATACAAGTATTTCAGATCCCTCAGAAGATGCTCCTTAGAAGGATAGTTTCTCATAGAGGGACTGTTGGAGGTGGAATTTATATACATGGGCACACTTCTAGGCTCAAGTCTGCACCAAGACAGCATAATTTTTTTTTAATAAAAAAATTATTAATCCATGGCAGCAATAAAAGATTACCAGTAAATGAACCAATGTCAAAGATATATATATGGTAAAATACACAACAATAGTCACAAATAATAAAAAACTTGAACATCAAGTTCCAGCAAACAATAATACTAACACTATATCCAACAAACCATCATTGAAGGGAAAAAGCTGAAGCATAGATGGACTGTTAACCTGTATTCCGTTGCACCAGAATCAGATGCGCAACGGGCATTGACAAACATTCCCTCAGCTGTCTGCTTACCCTTGAGCTCTCTGAGGCAGTAATCCAGAAGCTCAGGGGGGCCCAATTTGCAAACCGCCCCTCTAAGAGCACGCCAACGCACCCAGGTGGACCCAGTAACAGCACGCAACACCTTGATCATAGCTTCTTCAATACGTGCTATATCTTTAATAGTCCACGCGCACAATACTCTAGAGTCACCAGAGCGACTTTTCTTGCAAGGAGGATCATCAACTTTCAAAGGAGAATTTTGGACATCATGGATCAAACTCATCAAAAAACAGAAAAGATCTCTAGTATTCACAAGCTCACGTTCCGATAAGGACTGATAAAATGATATCAAATCCTGCAAGATTGTTCGAGGTTTCCGCCCTTGGGATTGAAAGCTGGACAAGGGCAGAGAGGAAAGGTTTTTGATTGCCATCTTGTAGGCATCATGTGACAAAGAGAAACTACCGGCACCAAATTCATAACCCCAATCACCATACCATGGGTGCCCTCTGGTGATGGCATGAAGTAGTCGCAACTCCAACCCATGCTTCTTTGACACATCCATCACACTGATCTTCCTGTTCATTCATAAAAGCAAAGACGGAAAACATAAATCACTCTTTCAACCATCGATAAGAAAATGTTGGATTCAAACAAAACTAACGGTAAGCATCCTAACCTGACTCCAAGTGTTGTGCATAGCCGATCCCAAAAGCTCATTATATGACGTCCAGAAAGCACTTTAGAGCCACCTTCCCTGCCGTTGACTCTTAGAAGATGACCATAACCATTGGCATGAACCACACCATGTAATAGATGGGTAGTGTCCTCTAACTGGTGATACATCCAGTCTTCAACATCTTCTGTAGTCATCACATGATTGCATGTCTTGCACCTGGGGATAAACGATTCAAATATTTAACCGATCGACATGTATTTTGAAAATTAACATCATGGTAGATGTGCAATATCCATGGGTGACGCTAGACGCAAAAATGCATTTTCCGTTCAAATAAGAACCAATGTTACTTTTCAATGCCATATATTCATGATCGTTGGGGTTTTAATGCCTCCGATCAATAAATTCACTAGACATCATTGAAATAATTGGTAGAATATGCGAGGATATGGTACATTCAAGAATAGATATTCCAGTGAGTTAGAACTAAGAAGAACCTCAACTCAATCGTTGTTTCTTAGAGAACTGCTACTCCACGAGTAAATTGTATTTAACCAATATTTTACTAACTATAATTGAAATAGTTACGATCACAATCGAAAAGAAATTATGAAGAAAAAAATGCTGACCTGGAATCAGCCATATGGAGCGCATCACCACAGCCTGCACATGTCTTGTTGTAGCCGCCAATTGAATTGCCATCGGCCTTTATTATGAAATGGTAACGCTTTGCACTGACTGGATTACTACTCCACCCTACAAACATCAAAGTCGATTAACACAAAACAAATTAAAACGAAATCACCAGACATCCAGAATGACTTGTATTCTCTACAAAATCCTTTTGTTCCATAGCATACGGAATTAACTAAAAAATTGAAAGATGAAAGTAAAATGGATAAATTTTAAATATTTTTTTTATTTCAAACATACAATCATCCATAAAATATCCCAATTAATAAAAACTATGCTGCATTGGAATGGTGTTATAGGCTTATAGCAGAGCGAGTCCTATGTAGCAAAATTCTTATTCCAATATTATTTTCAGGATTTTAACAAACTGGACAGCGTGCTCAACAAGTAAATGTGCGCGTGGGACCTCCCAAACCAGGTCATTACCCTCCTCAAGTCCTCTACATCGAGGATGCAGGGTTAGTTTAGTCAAATTATAAAAAAGAGTAGGCCCCAGCGTGCTTGCTCGCCAAGTGTCGTCAAGTCCACATTCTGTCTTTATCCTTCCACCAACCCAGCTAATTCTGGTCCCACTATAATATCTTCATTAGTTCAACCACTGTGCTTTAATCCCTAGCTTTATAATATTAGGCTTCAATTTCATTTTCCTTGATGCATAACTTCATCACTTAAATTAAAACAAACGGCCGAGATCAGTCCAGCCCATGGAACACAATATACCTTTGCACGTACACCTATTGATTTAAATATATCTTCAAAAAAAAAAAAAAGCGAGGGAACACGGAGCTAAAAGTAATGAACCATTTACTTTTTTTAATTATAATATATTTTATGTTGTTTAGGACGAGAAAAACAAGAAGAGAAAATTGGATTCTGAGTTGGTGTAAGTCAATGGGTTGAATCGGGGGTGAAGAACTTACCAACGACTCTACACTGGTCACAGTACACGGATCTGGAACTGGCTACGTCCTCTTCCACGACGTCGAGGCACACGACTGACGGTGCACCATCGTCGTCGACGATGTTGCCGACGCGGAATAGTACCTGCCACGTAAGCAGGTGAGGGAAGAGCGATGAAGGAGGCGGGAGGAGCGCGTTCTTTTGCAGGAACTCCTTCACTCTGGTTCTGAAGGGACCACCGGGTGCCACTTCACCGCCGATGGGGAACGTGAAGAAGTCGCTGAGATCTGCCGTAACTCGCCTCTTCACCCGCTTCATCGGCCTCCCGTTCACTACCATACTTGTTTCCTTGCTAGATCTGAGCGCGTGAATCTCAAATACAGGCGCGTGATCTCAGATCTCGGCGACTGCCAACAACAACAGTACGGAGAGATCCAACCACTCACAAGAACCACCACACAAAAAATAAATAAAGCTATAATTTACGAGAGAATGGAAAAGATGATGTTTCGAGAGGAGAGAGGAAGTAGAGGGAAAAAGGAACGTTTGTTACGGAGGACTTCGTTTTACAATCAGGGCTCTTTTGGTCTTTTAAATTATTTTCTTTTCTTTTGTATTTATGTCGGTTCTTGCGGAAATCAGTAAGTCGGTTTATTTATAATTTTATAGAGTGATAATGTCCGATGAGCTGTTAATAGAAAATATTACTATATAACTTGATTTTACGTAAATAACCTTGAGGGAAAGTGGAGGGACTTTCGCAGAAGGTTCCAGGTTTTGAAAGTAGGAGTGGTTGAGTTGTAATTATCTCCTGATAAAAGGGCTGTTTCGGTTATTAATCGGCTCTAGACTAGCAGCAATAGGCGGGAGGTGGATTCTTTATTTATTTATTTATTTCCGAGGTTTTATTTCTCATTCATCTCAAAATCAGTACGAATTAAGATTCAGATATTATTTATCTATTTATTTTTGAGGTTTAATTTTTCATTCATATCCTATTTAAACCATGATTGGTACAAATTAAAATCTGATTTTAATTTCTCAACTGAGATAGCGGACGCAGTATGAGAGTTCGATTCTTACCTCTTATAATATATGAAATTAGACTCTTTGTAAGCATCAATATAGCAGCTCTTATACACTGGTCTGGTGAGGTACATCCATCGATGTACGCCGAGGCGGTGGGGGATCCTCAAGGTTGGGGTTCAACCCTTTTTTTTTTTTTTAATCTGATTTTAATTTCAAATTAAAATCAAAAATTAATTTTAACCATAAATTTTATTGGACTCGCAATTTTTCAACTGCACATTCAATCAACTTTTATCAAAATCTATTAAAAAATTGATTTAAATCTACAATAACCGGAGACTTAGTACAAATTAAAATTCAGATTTTAATCTAAAATAATTTAACAATTAATTTTAATTATATTTTTCATGAAATTCATAACTTTAATTACACATTTCATTAATTTTTATTAAAATATATTAAAAGACTTTAAACGGAGACTCAATGTTTAGTTCAAATGACAATAACAAAAGTAATATTGACTTGTTGCTCTTGAATTCAAGTCTCATTGGAGATGAATGGTAATAATAATAATAATAATAATAAAAAAGGAAAATTTTGAAATTAATTTTTGGTGTTTAATTATTACATTAATAACTTCGTGCTATAGATACTAATGATCTCAAATTCTCGTTAATACATTGAGCAATCACGGGACCTAGCCATGATTAATTATAGAAAAACCAACTACTTTTGACCATAATAGAAAGTTATTTGGCACGAAGCGAGATGGTCCCGTACAACGACAATGCAATTCGGTACATGATGCAATTACTTGTCATTTCAAAAATTCAAATACCGTGTTGTATCGTTAATGGAGGCCTATCAAGTCAATGTCGATAGTTCGATAAAGACGAAATTGCGTAGTTGCATGATTGTGCAGTTAGGCTCGATGGTTGAGGATAATCATTTTTAAGTATGATGATGTTTATTTAATATTTACGGACTAGCTAATCCTGTATGGTAAAGAATTAGATCACGTTTTGAAACAAACTGACAAAAATTACTATGGTAAATTATAAATATTTTTGTCCTTTTATATCAATGTCGTCAGATCTTTTTTAGGAATTTATTGAAATTAATTAAAGTCAAGTTAATTAAGTAAATTAACCCATGCAATTGAAGTGGTTCGACAACTTTCTTCATGTAT